CACAAGGAAATGTGCAACACATGTATAACCTTAGGGACTCCTTTCAATCAAGAAAGGAAAAGCCAGAAAACATAAAAGAAATGACTGACATAATTGTATATATACAAATAATAATAAAAGCAATTGTATGACAAAATAGCTGTAAAAATATTAAAAGACAAAACATATGTGGGCAAATATTTGTAACTAATATGACTGGTAAAAAGTTAATATCTCTAATGTCTCTAAACCATAAAAATTGATAAGACACATCAACCAATAGAAAAATAGGTATGGAGTATAAATTGGGCAATACACATATTAGCACATCCAAAATCCAATAAGCATATGAAAAGATGCTCAACTTCATCTGTAGTCAGTGAAATGCAAATTAAAGTAACAATGAAATTATTTCTTATTAACCAGATTGGTAGTAGTAATTAAAATAATGACAACACCTGAGTTGGTAGGGATTTTGAGAAAAGGGTACTTGCGTACTGCTGTTAGAACTATACCTTTTTTTTAAAGAGCAACCAGCAATAGCTACTAAAATTTAAGAATGTGCTCTTCGAATCAGCAGTGTTATCCCTGGGACTCTAGTCCATAGAAATTACAGTACCAGTATTTAAGGATATACATATAGGCAACCATCAGAGATATTGCAGGTTCGGTTCTGGACCACTGCAATAAAGCAAGTCACATGAATTTTTTTGGTTACCCAGTGCATATAAAAGATACATTTATATTTATACTGTAGTCTATTAAGTGTGCAATAGTATTTTGTCTTAAAAAACACCAATGTACATACCTTAAGAATTTTTATTGCTAAAAAATGCTGACCATCTTTTTGCTGATGGTCTTACCTTCAATTTGTAAAAAACGCAATATCTGTGAAGTGCAATAAAACAAGGTATGTCTGTACGTGTGCACACGCACGTGCGCATGCACATACAAGGTATTTATTACAATAGTTTGTAATAAAGAAAAAAAGCTGGAAACACAGTGAATTCTCATCAGTAGAGGGAATACGTACATATCATGGACTATTGTGCAACTATGAAGAAGAGCGAACATAGCTATGTCAGATAACTTGGAGGAATTTCTATTATCTACTGTTAGGAGAGAAAGGCAAACTTCAGAGAAGTACATACTACAATACTGTATGATGAGGGTATTTTTGACCATAAGTAAGAGAAACCCAATTCAACTAATTTAACAACAAAATATTTCTTCAATATAACTAGATATCTAGAATTAGTGCAAGCTTCAAAGTTGGTTGATATAAAGATTCAGTGGTAATGTCATTAGGAAACTTCAGACCCTAGAGGACCCTGAGAACTGGGCTGGGGCTCTGGGAGCAAGTTGACTGCCAAGGCAGAGAGTTGAACTGGAAATAGACAAAGACCACAGAGAAACTTCAGGGTTGCCCTACGAAGGAGATCATGCCTTTGGGAAGCCCCTTTTCCTCACTGCATCTCTAGAATTTCTAAAACAATGCTGAATAATAAAGGAAAATAGCGAGTATCCTTTCTCGTTTCTAATTTTAAAGGAAATGGTATTAGCACTTTACCATTTGGTGTGTTTGCTGTTGGTAGGTAGTAAATACTGTTGTATCATATTTAAGTAGTTTCCTTTTATCCTGACCTTAAATTGTTTACTAGAATTGACTACTTGATTTTATCAAATGTGTTATAATACTGAAAATATTTACTCCAGTAATCAGTTGATATAACAAATTATAACAAGTTGATTAACATCTTGATATTGAACCATGTTTGCATGCATGTGATAAACCATATTTTCTAATAGTTCATTATTTTTTATATATTGCTGAATTGTATCTGTTGCTATTTAGAAATTATGCATCTCTATGTATATATGAAATTGGTATATACTTCTTTTTTGATACTATATCAAGTTTCGCTATTTAAGTTACCATGACTTCATATACAATAAATTGATGTCCTGTTCATATTTTTCTTTACCTTGGAATAACTAAAATAACTGAAAGTATGTGTTATTTAAAGCTTAAATAAATCGTATTCATGAAGCCATATGATTCTGATACGTTTTTAGATAGTAAGCCTCTTAATTACTTTTTTTTTTTTTAAAGCCTACAGCACCTGGTATTCCTAGGTGGTCTCCCATCCAAGTAACTAACCAGGCCCAACCTCGCTTAGCTTCCAAGATCAGACAAGATCAGGCATGTTCAGGGTGGCATGGCCGTAGACTCTTAATTACTTTTGTAATTCCTTCTGAGATAACTGGTCAATTGGATTTTCTACTTCTTTTTGAATTTTGGTAATTTATATTTTGCTGAAAATCCTCCCTTTCCTTGACATTTTCAAATGTGTTGCTATGGAACTGTAGATAGTATTCGCTAATTAATCTTTTAATTTCTTCTGGTATGTGATTATTCTCTTTTTCCGTACAAATCTTGTAATTTTTTGCTTTCTCTATTTTTCTTAAATAGAATTTTAGACTTTGCTTTTTCGTTAATCTTTCCAGAGAATTTTTTTTTTTTTGGTTTATTTTGTGTCCTTTTTCTAATGTCTTAAGTATTAAGTTACTTAATACTTGATATCTTAAGTAGTATTTTTAATTGATATACCATACCAGAAAATTCACACTTTTAAGGTGTACAATCCATAATTTTTAGCATACTCACAAAATTATGCAACCATTAAATTCCTTTAGTTTTTATCTCTTCTTTAGAAATGAATAAAGTAATTCATTCTCTTTTGACTACAACTTTAATTTTGTCTTGAAGGTTTTGGTAGAGATTCTATCCTTTTCATTGCTTCCTGGTTATTTTGTCATTTGTTTTGACTTGCCTTTTGATCCAAGGATTATTTACTAGGGCATTTCTTAATTTTTAACTTAAATTTGTTTATCTGTATACCTTTCTATATTTTCCAGATTCTTTAAAATGAGTATGTGCTACCTTTACAACTAAGGGAAAAATTTTTTTAAGTTACATTTAAATCTTTTATCCACCTAAAATTTATTTTTGAGACAAGAATGCAATAGGAATCCACTCCACTCCCAAATAGGTAGTTGTTCCAATAGTATTTATTAAATGATTCCTACTTTCTCACGTAATTTTATTACATTTGTTGTTAAGTGAATTTCCTTATATGTTTGGGTTTATTTCTGAACTCCATTCTGTTCCACTGATGTCTGTATTTTACCTTTCTGGTATCAATAGGAAAAGCTTGGTAACTTTAAAATGTGTTTTAATATCTGATAGAATTAATCTCTCATCTTTATTCACAATTTTCTTGGTTATTGTTACATTTAATTTTTCATAAGGATTTTAGTACCTTTAATTATGCTCTGAAGAAAAAACCCATTGGTAATTTAATTGGAATTGAATTACATTTGTAAATTTTAAAGAATTGACATTTCTACAATATTGAGTGATCCTAATTAAGAAGAAATATTTTCTCATTTGCCTAAGTAATTTTACATCCCTTTGTAGAGTTTGAAATTTTTCTTCATATAGGTCCTACCCATTTCTTCTTAAATTTAACCTAGGCATTTTATTCTGTTTTTTATTGTAAATTAAAAGTTTTCAGTTATATGTTCCAAACCATTATAATTTGATATAGTAAAGCTATTAACTTTTGTATATTAGTTTTTCCTTATTGAATTTTCTTATTGTTTCTAATAGCTTTTCAGTTAATTCTCTTTGGGTTTGCAAACAATAATATCATTAACAAATAATAATAATTTTGCCTTCTCTTTTCCAGTACTTCAAATTTTATTTCTTGCCCTTATCTAATTGCACTGGCTAATAAATCTAGAATAATGTTAAATAAATGTGGTGATACTGGGCATTTGGGGCTATTTCTAATGTTGCACTATTAAGCATAGTAAAATTACAAAAGTGACGCATGCTCATTTTGCCAGTTTATATATAACCTAGAGGCTTTTTTTTTTCTTTTTAATGCCTGGCACATCGTTGATGTTTGATAAATGTTGACTTTCACTATGTTAATACATATTTACACACGGAGATACATCGTAAAGGATAATGCTAAATAGAAAAGACACTAAAAAACTTTTACTGAGCATTACCTATGTGCAGAGCAGCTGGCCTAAACCTCCTTAACAGCTCTTTTGGCATCTAAATCCTACTTGGAGTTGATTTTGACAGCATGCAATCATGGAAAGAGAACTGCAGTGGGAGTGTGAAGACCCAGGTTCTAATTCTGTCTCTGCCACTACTAATTTGATGACCTTCGGAGGTTCTTAACCAATAGCGTTCAGTTACCCAAAAGGAGAGACAACTTGGGTGAAGAAGAGGCAGTCTTAGAATTCATTTGGGAAAAGACCTTCAGTTACCTTTCGCCGTCCATCCCTCACCAACATATAACGGGAGGGCTTATAGATGATACCCAATAGACGGAACAAAGAGGAACTAAAGTTCCTTTGAAAAATGGATGTGGTGACAAGTGCCAGAAATAAAAACAAAACATACGAAGTAACGCAGGCTCCTTGACATCCATCGCACCTCCCCTGTGAAACACGTCAGCATCAGTTATGCTCTCTTACAGCTAAAATGGTAGATTCTGGGCTCCATGTCTGCAGAGCAACATTTTACAAATCCCCAATCCTCTTACGCACCCCGTAAATTCCCTTTGGTTCCCAAGCACTGTTTGGGGTAACTAAACTTTTATTCTCCACCTCTCAGTCCTGGATGTGTCACGTAGAATGCAGATATGGTATCTAAGCAGACGATCTGCCAGTAGGACCCAGGCCTCCTTACTCTCTTTGGAGTACATTCAAGAGTTAAGGGTCACAGAAGACATCTTCTTAAGGAGAGTGACGCGGTGGAGAAGGGGACAACCTAAAGGTCAAAAAGGTCAGTAGAGTTTTCCTCGAAGAGCCACATCCCCAGGAGGAGACCGGGCCTGCTCAGGGGCGGGAAGGAGGCTGGGCCCCAGGCTGCTGAGTGGCCGCCCTCCCAGCCAATCGGCATGTAGTAGAAGTCCCGCCCCTCCCGGCGAGGTACTCACTTTTCCCACTTCGGCGTTGCCCATGGAGATGACTTTGATGCGCAGGGACTTGCCAGGCTCCTTCCGCTTCGGCATGTTGGCCTCCATTGCCCTCACTCTCTCGGGGCCACCCGCCTCGGTCTCTTCTTGTTCACTAAGCTGGCCCGTCCCTCAGGTCTCCTCATCCAATAGCGAAACCGTTGTTACTGTCACCGCCCCGGCTCCGCGGCTCGCCATCCCTGCCGCTGCCTGGCAGCGGGCGCAAGCGGTTAGTAGCGCAGGGAGCTAGGGGAGGGAGAAAAGAGTCTCGCGATGCTAGAAAGGGGCGGCGTGACGTCATCGCCAGGCCCTAGAGCAGAGACTGTGGTTACCTGATTGCTGGGATCTAAGGAGTCTGGGCGCCTCCCTAGGCAGGCGACACAGAGGGTGGCTGGGTTTACTTTTAACGGAGTGCGCGGCATTATGTCCACAGGCTCCAGGACATAGGCATTTGACAACCGAGTAGTAGAAATTTATTGGCTGTTCAGGGCAGATTCTCAGGTTGGGAGTATCTGGAATTACGAATTTCAACAAGCGGAAAATTTGAAATAGACTAGGGCCCATTTTGAGGTGTTTTTTCAGGATTCTTCAGTCCTAAGGGCTCCATTCACTCACCCTTCCCCTTTTAATCTGTTTCCCCTGCTCTGGCTTCCGAAGAGGCAGGGTCAAGATCTAGGGAAATGGAGAAGTCGATGCCCTGGTTCCGGAAGAAGGGCTTGTCAACAAAAGGTCGCCACCTCGAATACAGTGCCAACATGAGTCCCTAGTCTGGGGTACAGGAAGAGGAGACTACTCAGATAAATAGTCTGCAAACTGCAGAAACCTAGCCTTTAATGGAAATTTAAAGTGTGCTCACTCCAAGGAAACAGGAGGGCGATTATATAAATTGTGTGTGTGTGTGTGTGTGTGTGTGAGAGAGAGAGAGAGACAGAGACAGAGACAGAGACGAGAGACCTCTGTAAACAATGGCTGGTAGACTCTAGATTGTGAGTTTGGGCCGGGTTAACCATAAGGAGTCCTTTTTGGCAGGTAGGTTCTTTCTCCAAGTCAACAGGCCTTAGGCAAGATCTGGATCCTACCCAATCATTTAAAAAAAAAAAATAGGTTGTTCATTTGGAACCAAGACAGGTCTAAGTTTAGTCCTTGTTCTTCTATTATGGAGTTCTAATATGTAGGAAGAAATATCAGGCTTTTCATATACTCTTAAACCTCTATCAAGACGTGTGTGTGTCATTGTAGCTATAAGCTCCTTCATTTTCCTCCTCTTCCTGCCACTCACATCTAAATTTAACCCCATCTTCTGTTCTCATCTTTTCTTTAGTCGACAATATGATGGTAGAATAATATTTCTAAGATAACCACTTTTTCATTCTCTCATTCCAAGGAATAAGAAAAGCATCTGCTTGATTAAAATCAGTCTTAGAGGAACTGTAATTTTTTGAGTCGATATCTTCAGTTATGGAAGATAAATAGAACTTGACAAATGATTATTTAGTGCCCTTAGAAAGAATGGCTGCCAATTTCCCAGTAAACGACAATGGTAAAGGTAGCATTGCCAGTGTTCTCACACAGCTTTGAACATCTTAACACATTGCAGGAAGACAGTGAAGAAAGGCTCAAGATTTCATGATAGTTATTTGCAGTTAGGTTTCAAATATTTCTATTTAAAATTTAATTTTAAATATTAAATGCTTTTTAAGAAAAAAGCTTATTCTAGATTGTTTTCACATTCAAGTAATGTAACAGTTCAATCTTCTAAAATGCTTTGCAAATATGAACTATGAGTCATAGTTAGAATTTTGATAGTTTAGAGCTTAAAAGAATTGGGTTTATACTGATTCTCCAGATGCTGATTTCTCAATACGATGTAACAAAACCAATAAACATCTGTTGCTTTAATAGTTCAGCTTTGACCCTGTAGTAGAACTGGTATTGTGGTAGAATAATTGCAAAACGTCAAGTCTTCAAATATCAAAGACTGATTAGATATGATACGCTTCAGCATAAGAGCAGTAAAATATGCCAAAGATTAAAATATATTATTATGTTTTCATATTACTGTTTTTAAGGTTTTAATATGTGTTGCCATATTTTCTACTGAGTGTGTTAAATTGGCTCGGAATTGAAAAAGCAAGAAAGTAGCTTTCTTTTCCAGTCTTTAATATAGAAAGGAAAGAGAGAAGCATGAGTTAGCTGTGTAGTGTGAAGCTAGAGGATCGGTGTATGAGTTAGGAGCATGAGCTCTGGAGTCAGCTCTGTTATACTCTCTGTTGGCGTGACATGGGCATGCGGTGCTGGTAAAAACTGCAGGAGATAAAGCCCATGAAGTACATGGTAACCCCCCCTCCCAATAAACAGTAGTTATATGCTTTCAGGTACTCATGTTTTTTAATTTTTATGTGTTAAAAAAGATTTTGCTTATTTTAAACCTGCGTTTTAAAAGTAAATTAGGAAATATGTTGGACATACTAAAAGGTATAAAGAATAATATAATGACTACCTGTGTATCCACCACATAGCTTAAGAAATAGAACATCACTGATACTGCGTGTCCTCTTTCCCAACACAGCCTTCCTCCCTCTCTACAAAAGGTTGCAGCTATCTGAATTTGTGTTTTTAATTTCTAGGCATTTAAAATTTTTATAGTACTTATGTATATATATTTCACAATGTAGTATTGTGCTGTATCTTTTAGAAATCTTTATTTTGAAATAATTTCACTCTGAAAAGTTTCAAGAATAGTAGAAAAAAAAATTCTTATATACCCCTTTAGACAGATGCATCAATTGTTAGCATTTTGCCTTATTTACTATATCACTTGTGCTCGCTATCTGTATATACACATTTTTTTTCTGAATCATTTGAGAGTAATTAGCATATGTGTTTCTTTACCCATAAACACTTCGGTGTGTATTTCCTAAGGACAAGGACTTTCTCTTATTTAACAACAGTGTATTTATCAAAATCAGGAAATGTAACAGATACAGAACTATTACCTAATCCTGGGGTTCTCAGACTGCATTGAGGTAACCCACAGCCCCCTATTGAATTCACAGAGAGAGATCTATGGGGTATTTTACATTCTAAATTCTCAAGGCAAACAGAAGAAATCTAAGACTACACAAAACTACTTGCTCAAGGTTGTTTACAAATTCAGCAGTAGATGGTGCCATATTCCTTGAACATGTCATATATTTGGGAAGCTGAGTTTTTTCGGTGACTGTGATAAAAAGCCAGTACAGTGGAAAATCAGTGCACAGCAGGAAATGAAGGTCATCTTATCCAATCTGATTCCAAGGTTTGAGAAGTTGTGCAGTGCCCAACAGGTGCACAAATCCCATTAGTAAGTAATTGTGGTTAAGAATGAAATAAAAATATATTTTTCTTTCAACTTCTAGGCATTATTTTTTCAAATAACTAAATTGTTAGGATATAAATAAGTTGTTTGGACCTAGATATTTCTTTTTGCCAAGGAACACCACGAAAAAGATATTGAGACACTGAGGGTGACTCAAACCAAGAGTATTTGAGAAAATTTCATCTAACCCACAATTTATAATCAAATTTCACCATTTGTCCCAATAATATTCTTTATTACTATGTTCCCCAACATCTCAACTCCACCCCCTGGTCTGGAGTCTAATCCAGCATCATTTAGTTGGTATGGTTCCTCAGTCTTTTTTTATTGGTATGGTTCCTCAGCCTTTCTTTATCTTCCAAAATGACAGTTAATTTTAGAATATTCCTCATTTTGTGTTTGGTGTATTCTCGTGATTACATTCAGTTATATTTGGCTGGAATAGCACAGAAAAAGACAATGTCCTTTGAAGGGCATCAATATCAGAAGGCTGGTGGTGTCGATTTGTTCCATTTATTAATGATGTTAACTTTAGTTGGTTAAGGTGTAAGGTAGTGTTCATTAGATTAATCCACAGTAAAGTGAGTTTTTTCATTTGTAACAAGTAATTTGTAAGGGGATATTTTGAGATTATATAGATATTATTTCTTCACTGAACTTTCACCCACAAACCCAATGATGATTCATGGCTGAAGAGATTTTTACCATGATAGATGCAAAACCATGATTTTCTAACTTCGTCATTCCTCCTACATTTATTACTTGGTATTTTACTTTAAGGGAGAGCTTTCCTTTCTCATTCGTTTATTTATTAATTTATATCAGTATGGATTCATATATGCTTTTTTACCTCATGAACATTGTTTTGTTACTATTTTTATTTTAATGCTCATTCTGGCTCTTATGTCTTTTTGATACGTCTCCACCATTTTTTGAGCAACTCCTTGCTTTCTGGCACAACAAGCCCTAGTTCCCTAAGTCCTTTTAGTGGAGAATGGTTTTCAGAAACCAAGATCTGGGTGCTCGGTGTGCTCAATTGATACGAGGGTGCCTTTGCTTTGGGCCCTTTTAGTTGACTGAGCCCCCTCAAAAATACATGTATATATATAATGCATCTAAATCTATATATTAAAACATAACTCATACTGATATCCCCAATTCATTTTAGCACAAAAGGATTCATTCTAGTTTTCTCTCTTTCTGTACTTATAACTCCCTTCTCCAATAGTGAGAAACCTGGCTCTCATCGTCTTCAGTATATTTACTCACTTGCTCAATCCTACAATACACAGAAAGTAGTTTCAGAATTGCTAACCCATACCATCTCAAAAAACAGAACTATTTTGAATTAGAGTTCACTATTTGTTTATAGCTATTTTTGTCTTAAATTGACAAATATAGTTTGTCATATAGTTTCATATAGGATGAACGTTTATAAGTTAATTGGCTTAATCCTTTTTTTTCTCTCTGGCATGGTTATGGTTTTCATTTGAAATATGAACATTTATTTATTTATGTTTATACTCTAGTTTTCTCTCTTATTACTGTTGGCTTTATTTTATTACTTTTTGTAAAACATTAATGTAGTTTCAAAAGTCAGAATGATACCAGTTGACGTACTCAGAAAAGTGTCATTTTCGCCTCCATTCCAATCCGTTCCGCCTCTTTCCACCTACCTTCTGTGAGCAACCGATCACATTAGACCCCAGTTTATTCCTTCTTGTGTTTCTTTTTATAAAAAGTACGCAGTTACATGTATATTTTCTTATTTCTCCTTTTTTCTTACAAGAAAGGTTACTATACGTATGTGTGCAGTTTTGTTTGTTTTTTTTTTGAACTTTGCTTTTTTCACTTAATATGTGCTGGAAAGCATCTCCTATTATATC